TTCTCGTCCTTGAACCTCTTTTGCCGGCGCAGGTAGCAACCGTTCTCGAACATGTTCCCGCTCTCCGGGTGCAGCGTCCAGAACGAGCCTTTTCCCGGCTTGTCCGGTGTCCTCGGCACCTTTACGAAGCAGTCGTTAAAGCTGAGCGAGTGCCTGATGGAGTTCTGCCAGCGCTGCTGGTTCTGCCTGTAGTATGGGAACAAATCCATGATGAACTGGTAAATTTCGGACAAGGTGAGCATCTTCGTGGGCGCATTTTGGATAGCCATCGTGATCAGACTGATATACGAGTACGGCGGCTTCGAATGTGGGTAGTTGCGCCGATACGACTTGTCCGTGCGGGCCCGCTGCAGGCTTGAGTTCGGCGAGTCAGGCTCCGTCAGGGACAGCGGGTCTCTGGTGACCGCGGCGCTGGCGCCTGGCGTCAAGGAGCCGTAGCCGACGGCACTCATGCACGCGTTCGCGCCAGCCATCGGAGCGCTGCCGTATCTGCTCATTGTGCCGCCGCCCATCGGAGCCATTCCCATCGCGGAGCTCATGGTGCTCATGTTGAAGCCGCCGGCGCCCTGCGGGCTGCAGCTCGGCCCGACGCCGACCCCCATTGACATGCCCATCGACACGCAGTCCATCGAATTTATCGAGCTGTACGTCGGCGCCATGCTGCCCATCGTGGACATCGCGACGCTGGTCATCGCGCCGCCTAAACCGCCAGCGTCGCCGTACAGCTTCTGGGACTGGAGCATGGTCATAGAGGTCACCGGGGCCGGTATGGCAGACTGTTGTCTGCTCGTCAAACGGGAATCATGAAAACCACGGTACCACGGCTGCTGATAGTGCGACGATCCCTTAATCTTCTCGCCCCACTGTCGCCGGTCGAGAAATCACCGATACCTCCTGTATCACTGATGATGTCGCGGTCACTGGGAAACCTTCGTGGAAGTCCGTCGCGCGAGTTCGGAACGCCGAAACGCGGTTCGAACCGAGATCACTGATCTGTCTGAGGAGCAGTCGGGTCCTTATGCTCCTGATCTCACACTGAAACTTCACTGAATCAGTACGTACGCAAACACGTTCCCGATCGGTAGAACGAGGACGCACAAAACGATTCTTGGTTCACTGACAATTATCCCTCGCGGGCACAACGATCTCCCGTTGCACGACAACAGTCACCGTTCTCCGTTGTTCAAACGAGATTGACGTTCACTGATCGACGACGACGTTCAACGACGAGCAACAATCGACCGGGCTGCTCGATCGGACACTCGTCGATCTCCGGTTCAGCACGAGTGGACGCGACGCGGCCGAACTGCGAGAGGAAGAAGCCAACGGTGTGCGCGGCGGCGATCGTGGCGCGGGCGTCTCGCAACAGCCACGAGCTGAACACACAAGAGCAGTTGTTTGAGCGGGGCCTGTTTGAGCCGCCTCACCTCCACTCTCCCTCATTCACCCGGTCTGTTTCTCTCTGTGTGCCGTGTGGATGGAGGCCGGTTAGCGAGTGTACTCCGCTACTCTTGAGTCTCCCGATCTTGTTCAAACACCCCCCACTCCTGGCGCCGCGCACCACGCCCGCCACTGCTCCACGCTATGCGGCGCGGCCAATGCAAAGGTGCCCGTCCCCTCCGCCGGCCAGCGCCAGCCAATCTAACTGGGACGGAGGGTTAGGTCTGGGTTAGGTTGCGCGTCCCCCTTCCGTGCCGCCTTGAATCGGTGGCGCGATAATGCTTCGCTGGCTCGGGCTTTCCTCGCCGAGGGCGAGCGCGCAGCTGCGAACCTCTGCGCGCCGAGCAGCTTGCGCAATACAACCCGCAGGAGACGGCTAGGCAACGGACGACCGGCGACGACGATCGTCCCGATGACGACGGGGCCACCGCGTCGCCTCTCCTCGCGGCTCTGCCATGTCATGTCAACTGTCTGTCCGCCACGCGTTTGACACCTATCTCGCGCGCGCCGTCACGCGTCCCGCGACCCCGACGCGACGCGACGCTTT